ATTTATCTCTAAACAATTCCTGTAAGTTAAATATGATTAGGAATGCTGTTTTGGGTATGTGGGTGACTACGGAGTAACTATGCCAGTATTGCACACTTGTCGCTGCCTACACACACCGAATCAGAACTCTGATCAAGGATGTACTCAAAGTCCAACGCTTCAGTAAGATTACTGCATATTTCCAGATTTCCTAGGGCTATAAATAACTTTTCTAGAGAAACGGGAAAAGGCAGGTTTGAAGTAGGAAGTTCGGCAGTAGTGGCAAAGACTGAGTAGACGATAAAGACAATCCGCTGAGAACTGACTGGCCTCAGAAAATACTTGGCTATGGATGACCAGGGCACTGTGTCCGATGAACTGTTACCCTCCTCCACTGCACTCTGCTGGGTGAAGATGAGGCTATTTTATGCCCACCTGAGTCTTTTGCATCTCTAAGCCATCCCAATACTGTCCCAACACTGAGGTCTTCTTTCAAGAAGTGTATCAAGCAAAGCTAGATCTGAAAGAGGTTTAACTTTGGAGATAAATGCTCACGCTAGTCCGACATCTTTAGGCTTATTAACATCTAACATTAAAAGCAACCTTACCTAGGCCACACAATTTAAGGAAACTCCCATTTAAGGAAACTCCATGTGCAAAAATTCCACCCGCACATCCTTTTGATAACTAATGCAAGTGTAGAGATGAATGATTTAATCTGCGTATGATTTGTGTCCAGATTGCTTTCATACCTGGGAACACTAAAAAAATAGGACTGACTAGGGGCCAGGAAGGTGACCGAGGGCTACAGCACATGCTTTACACTGGGAGACCAGGTTGGGGCTCCCCTCTCCCCACCCCCAACACCCCAGCAACACCAAGGGGGATTTCCCAGGAAGCCTGAGCTCCGCAGGGTACACCCCAAAACAACAATAACAAAAATAACCCAGAACTCCATGAACATATATCCCGGGTTTGTGGTCTGGTTTTGATGGGGGGGTGGGGAGGAGGCACACTCAGCGGTGCTCAGGGAGGGACCACCCCTGGTGCGGCTTAGGGGCCCTAGGTGGTAGCCAGGATCAAACCCATCCCAGGGGGTCATGGCTCTATGATACTTTTTAAAAAGGTCTGGACAAATCTCCCACAGAGCATTGCATGCAGATCTCACGTTTGCCCTGTATGCATTTCCAGTTCTCCCATTCTCCATCAGCCACCCCCAGTGGTTTTCAGGGCTGCTACTCCTGGCTGAGTGCTCAAGGGACCATGCACTGCAGAAAGTCGCAGGGGCAAGTGCTCCCTGGAGCCACAGTCTGCCCAGTCCCTCTCACTCTTAACTGAGGATCTAGTAAGCCCCAATTCCAGCATTTCTGAATGTTTACTGAATACTAACATGCTAAGCGGACTTGAGAAGCTGCAATTCTCTAAACTAAGGGGCAAGCATGGTCACGTGTACAATGGGAAGAAGATATTTTCCTGGAGGTACATTCTCGTATCTGCTGTAGAAACATGGATTAAAGGCCACTCTGACCTTTTCTGTTTCATCACCTCAGACCGCATGACTCTTATATTTTTCTTACAAACACAGGGTGACAAGGAGGTTATCAGGAATCAGTGCAAAATAATTGTCACTACATGGAAAAAATCAAATTGAAGACAACATTTTAGAAAGTCTGACACCACATGACTACAGTATATGACCATAATTTGCTGCTTTGGTGAGTATTTAATACTAAAACAGGATATAGTGTTACTTTCTAAATCCCATGCAAAAACGTTTAAACGTACAATTCCCTGGAAATAGTTTTTCATTTTCCTTGGGAGAAAAAACAATTTGGGATAAAAGGTTTACTTGGCTAGACGCATTGAGTCTGGAAATCCCTACGCTGTCTTACTGACCTCAAGACACAAGTTTTAAAACAGCAAAATCCCGAAAACTGTCATCACAGAGGGAAGCGAGGGGGTAACTCAGCGAACACCCCACACCCGGGAAGGCAGGAGGCGGGCGCCGGGCGGGGGCGGGGCCACGATGCGCTGGGCAAGCCCTGTGATGACGTCACCGCCCATACATAATGTTACAGCAGTCAGCACAGGCCTCCCGCCTTCCGATTGGCGAGCGCCGAGTCAGCAGACATCAGAAGATGATCCCCATTGGCCAGACAATTACAACTGGAGCAAGGAGCCTCCACCAGTTTGCAGAGCCCTGGCAGGCAGCTGAAAAGCCGGGCAGAGCCCAGCTGTCCCTACTCAGTGAGCTTTCTTTCTATGGCCTTACCAATTGGCAGGGGGGCAGCTCTGCTCTGGCCAGCCACGTTTTAAAGTGAAGTCGGGCATTAGTGAGAATAACAGGTAAAGGTCAGACATCTTATTAAATGAACAAAATACCTCTTTTCCATGTTGTAAAATCACAGGGGCTTTTCAGAGCAAAGCTGGTCTCCAAACACGGTACTACACGAGAAACAGGCATTTTCCCTTACCTCATGTAATAAACACTCTAGTTTACAGGTACTGTGACCCAAAATATTTTTAACTTGGCATGTAGTTCTTGAAAATGAAGTTTAAGATGATCAAGGGACGATCTTTATGACTCTGCATTCCGATTGTTTTCCTGATCTATTTATATGAAACTATTTGCAAGGAAAGTTTAAAAGGTCTAGAGTATTTACCCTGTGTCTACAATGAATATAAGGTTAATGATTCCTTAAAGCAGCAATAAACGTGATAAACTCGCTCAAGTCAAACCCTTTCGTGCTTACACAAACTCCACTGCTAAAATGAGCCTCCGTGACTTAATGCGTTAATAATATGCAAACATGAACTTTAGAACGTGTTGAATCAAATATTCCTACATAAGGTCCTCCAAGATGAAACTAGGCCATGCAGACTGGCTGACCACCGCACTGGCCTCTCAATTCTTCAAAAGACGGTAGCTCATTTTGCAGAAAGAAGTTAGAATGCTCTAAGTCTGCAGTGTTTTCAGTTGGAAAGATTTTTAAGCACAACAGTCAATGGCTTCTCCAAACACAAAGCAGAAACTTCACAGCATGCCTTTCCTTCCAGAAGCTATTTCAGATCATGTGAGGTCTGGGAGCTGCTGGGCAATGCAGCTCAGCGTGGGGTGACGCATGCGGCCTTGATTCCGTACCCACCACACACGGAAAGGGTGGTTTCCCCTCGGTTTTCTAAACTCCATCTAAGCCGCGGTTATGGGGCGCCCTTCTAATAACAAAGAGAAATGAAAAGAAAATGCTTTTTGGGGGGTGGGGTGGGGGGTGGGTTTTGGGGTCTCACCCATCATCTGCGCTAAGGGGACCAGCTGCAAGCAAGACAAGTGTCTGAACTTAATCCCTGAATACCCCAGCCCCAAGAAAATGCTTTTTTTTACACACCTAAAAAAAAAAAAAAAAAACTGACCTGTAAGGCTGCAGAACTCAGGCCGGGGGTACCCGGAGCATAAGCAGTTAACCCGGCCATGTCAGCCTCTGGTCGGTAGAGACAGTGCTGGCAGTAAAATGGGCACCCATCACCTGGAAAGGCTGCCCGTGCCACCCGGGCAGGACGCACACTTGGCCGGGAGCTCCCGAGACAAAAGCCTAGCGAGCCCGCGTGTACCCAGGTAGCCAGGCGGAAACCATGGGCACGAGCTTTGAACACGAGCTTAACCCGGCGGGGAGCCAGAGCCTGGACCCGTGTTTACTTGTGTGAATGGAGGAAACGGGCGGGAAAAGACACAGATACGCGAAGAGGCCCTGGGTGCCCTCGGAGACGAGGGGACGGCAACGAACACGAGGGCGCGCAACCGAGGCCGCGGGGAGGGGCCGGGCGGCTGCTGTGGACCCGGACAGGCAGGTTGGGCGGCGCGGCGGGGTGGGGGCGCCGTGCGCCCGGGGCAGGGTCGGACCCTGGCAGGGACGGCCCACTTGGGCAGCCCGGGCCCCACGTGCTCGGCTGCCACCGAGCCTGCCCGCAGGAGCACGGTCCCCGCCCTTCGCGGTCCCCTAGAGTGTCGGAGGGTCGGCCACGCGCCGTGCGGTGGGCGGCTCCGCCCCGCCGCTGCAAATGGCCAGCGGACCCGACACGCGGGGGGCGCGGCGCAGCGCGGGGAGCCGGGGCCCTGCGAACCCCTCTCCAAACCCGCTCGGGGACCCCGGTGGCGCGGCCCCCGGCCCGCCCGCATCTGGGGCTCCCGATGATGGGAAGGACGCGGGGCGGGCAGCACGGTCCAGGCCCCTGGCTGGGCACCCAGCCTAGGGGCTGGCACCTTGGCACCTGAACGCAAGGGGACCGGGGGCGAGCACAGCCTCCCGCGCGCCACCACGCCAGATGACACGGGGTCGCCTCGCACTAGCGGGCTTGGGTAAGGGAGGCGAGTAGGAAGATGCTTCCTCCCCAGTGAGAAGTTTGTCCGCAAAGGGCTCTGCGGCCGAGTTTGGGGGGGCTTTTGTCTGTCTCCGCGGGCTCCACTCCAGCCCTCAGGCTTCTGGGGTCTGGGAACCGCGGGGGTGCCCAAGAGGCTTTTCCCCGCCTCCGCCGGAGCAACTCGCTCGGTTTCATTCATTCGCGTCGCCGGACCTCGGGGTCCCCTCCTGGCTCCCGAAACCGGAAGGGGATCCGCGGCGGGGGATAGGGGGTGCAGGCGAGGCGGGATCCGGCCGTGCCGCCGGCGCACTCGCAAGGAGAAAGGAAGGACACGCGGCGGGCTGGGGCGCGGGAGGCCCGGCCAGTAGCGTGGCGGGGATGGACGCCGGGAGTCGGGCAGGTAGGGGCCACCGCGCGCGCGCGCGCACACACACACACACACACACACACAAAACACACACACACTCACAGGCGCGCGCGTACAGATACACGCGCGCACACACACACGCGCACACACAGGCGCGCGCACACACGCGCGTCCGTGCCCCCCGCATTATATAATCGCCGTGGAAAATACACATATCCACCAAGTGCACGCGTGGCCGCGGGGTGGCCCCGGCCCCGGCGCCCCCCGCCTCCGGCCCGCGGCCGCCGCATCCCCCTACCAGTTCTCCTGCATCCACTGGATGGCTTCATGCTCGTTGAACTGCTTCTCGAACTCATACTCCTGCAGCGCGAGCACTGACATGTTCATCGGGGCCGCTCTTGGGAGTCGCCGCGTGCGCTCTGCACAAGACACAAGAGGGAGTGAGGGCCGGCCCGCCGCCCGCCCGCGGCCGCCCGCCCCCCGGCCTGCCCCGGCCCCGCCGCGCCCCGGGCCCGCGCCTCGCCTGTGCGTGCTGCGCGCGCTCGCCTGCCTGCACCGCGCGGGGCCGAGCCTGGCGGTCTTAGTGCCCGCACTCCGGGCCATCGCCCGCTTTTCACTCGGCTGCGGGGAATCTCCTCCCCCTCGTGCGATCGGGACGCGTTAACCCTTCGCGAGAGCCCGCGAGACCTCCCCGGGCCCCAGGGGGTGGGGGACGGGGGGCGGGCTCGGCCCGGCGGTTATTTATTTATTAATTTGGTCGCTTTCCGACAGGGAGGTGCCCCGGGCGGTGGGGGCGGGGCGCGGGGAGGGGCCTGGAGGTCACCCCCCACCCCCACCTCGTGGGCCGAGCCGCCAGGCCTTTGAATGAAGTGCGGGCCAGCTCCCGGGCCCGCAGGAGCCCCGGCCCACGGGAACGCGGCGCCCCAACCCCGGCCCGGGCTCTCACTTCACCCCCACCGCCCCGCTCTCCTCTGCCCCGGGATGCTCCGGGAGGAAGAAGGTAGAAAGCTGGGGATGACCACCCACCCCCTCCATTCCCCGCCCCAACCTCAGGAGCCCGGAAGAGGGAGCCGGACCGGCTGGGTGGAGGGTTTGGGTGGCAGGAGGGGTCGGGTTAATAAAGTGACACAAAGGTCGCAGGGTGGGGGGGAGGGGGCAGGAAGTCAGGGCACGGGAGAACTGGACGACTGGTCCAAGGCAAAAAAGGAATTGGTTTTGCATGAGAATTTTCACTTTACTTATTGTGAGAGCTTGTGAAGGGGAATGTTTGCGGGCAGGGCTGAATCGGCCTGTTGACCCTCACAGAACACGCCCGCCCCCCTTCCCCACTCCCCGACTCCAGATCCCCATCTCAACCACCAGAAAAGTACTTTCTACACTACACCTCCCAAGCCAGGAAGAATGAAATGTGAGACATGGAGGTATCTAATCATCTGATACTTAGAGAATAACCACAAGGAAACTGCTTCAAAATCAGATGGCCACTAAGACCGGGATGGAATGGGATGGAACCTTCCCTCTCCGCAGAGGGTCCCTCGTCTCCCAGCCCAGTCCAGAGGGATTTTTATCCACCAAGTGCCTCAAGGCCACCGTGAAGGAAGACATAAAGCAAGGACAGATACTCTCAATTCCTTTTTTTTTAATCCAGTGCAAGTTTTTAAAATCCAGTATGATATTCCATAAATCAAGCCTAGCCTGGTAGTTTATTAGCAAATTAGTTCAGAAGGTGGGCTCTTCAGAATCCCAAAGATTCCCAGAATCCATACGTCTGCACAGCAGAGTCTTTCCAGAGAATTCTGCTGTCCAGTTCTGAGGAAGGGAAAGGTCAGGTCCCAGGAGTTGGCAGGTTGGCGCTGGGAGGTGAAAGTGACTCCTGAGAGAGAGTAGCCCTAAGCACAGTCAGTAAATCTCTGCACAGGCAAAAGATAATTGGTGAGATACATGAAAGATGGAAAGGCACTGGGGAAAGAATTTTGGAAAGAAAGCCCAGCAAACGTTTTCCCTGTTGGTATCAAGAATAAGTCCCTCTTTGTGGCTGTAGGGCATTTGCCCTGCACTTGGCCAAGCAGTGTTCAGTCGCTGACACCCCATAGGGCTCCCCAAGCACCTCCAGGAGCGATCCCTGAGTGCACAGCTGGGAGGTTCTGCTTTGGAGGGGTTTGATTTTGGGTGGGCTTGCTGGAGGCACACGTGGTACCCGGGCTTGAACAGAGGCCAGCTGCAAGTGCCTCACCCCCCACACTGTCTGTATCCGTGAAGAATCATTTTCAAATTTAGTATTCCAGTAGGGTAGGGTACTTGCCTTGTACATCGTCAATCTAAGTTTGATCTCCGCCCTCCGTAGGGTACCCGAGCCCCACCAGGAGTGATCCCTGAGCACAGAGTCAGGAGTCAGCCGTGAGCACCACCAGATATGCCCAGAAACCAAAAGTAAAAGAATTACTGGCCTTTAGTAGTAAGCATTTTTTTAACTGGGCAAAACTTTACTACAAAGATGACATAATTAATAAAAATATAGATTTGGTCTTAATTATATTGCCATAGACCTCGATATCTAACCGTGGGGTATGAACAGGAACCCTCTTATTTTCTCTTCTACATGTAGGTAATAGTGGAATCATCAGCTGAAGATCTCTGGCGTAATGTGTTAAAACAGGCAGGTTCTCTAATCTTCGTGACACTGATCTACTTTTCTGTATCTTCTTAAACTTTTCCCACTCAGCACCCCTTTTCACCTGAGAAATGTAGCATGGGTAACCATGGCCAGAAACATCTCAGATTCATGATGCTGTTGATTTTGAAATTGATTTGCCACTCTTAAATTCATTTCACGATCCAGTTTAAGAAATCAGATTCCAGATCTTGATTTCCTAGGAGAGTCTAGTCAAGATAAATCATCTGACACCCTCTGCTCATCTTCAAGCTGCCTATCTTAAATCCACACAGCACAGCTTCTTGCTCTCATAAACGTTTCTTCCCCTTCCTCCCCTCTGTCCCTTTTTGTTTGTTTGTTTGTTTGTTTTTTGATGCACAGGGGTTACTCCTGGCTCATGCACTCAGGAATTACTCTTGGCAGTGCTCGAGGGACCATATGGGATGCTGGGAATCGAACCTGGGTTGGCCACATGCTAGACAAACGCCCTCCCCGCTGTGCTATCACTCCAGCCCCTCTGTCCCTATTTGTATCTGTCAAACTCGGTCTCTCTTTGGCTACTCATAACCTACTCTCTCCCCAAGACCTTCCTTGTTCATAAAGATCACAGCTCTTACCACCAGTTGGGTTTTTGTGGTGAATAGAACTAGGGCCTCACACACACTATACACGTGCATGCTCTACTGCCGAAGCACATGGTAGGCAGTCGTATACTCTTTTCTGTTTGTTGGGTTGGTTCTGGGGCCACATCCAGTGGTGCTCAGGGCTCATTCCTGGCTCAACTCAGGATCACATGGGATGCCAGGGATCACCCAGGTTAACCTCATGTAAGGTGAGCACCTTGCCCACTGTCTTATCTCTCTGGCCCACCTCAGGCATTCTTAAACCTTTTGTTAGATTCTATAGCAGAGCACAGATTTTCTTAAGGGTGGGAACAATGACTTATTGATTGCATCTGTTGTAGGGCTGATGTAACAATCACACATGCAAGGGGGACACACACACAGGGACTCAGAGTGGAGGGAAGAGGACAGTGGGGGACGGGGTGATGCTGGAATGTGTTAGCATGAAACCCAACCGTGAAGAGTATTATAAGCCACTGTGCCTAAAATACTTTTTCAAATAAATCACACATACTCCCCTCCTCATTTGGGAGGCAAGAGCTCAGACATTAAGATCAGCAGCACTGACTCCGTCTGGAGATTCTGAGGAAGAAATGACACCTCACCTTTGTCGAGCTTTGAGTGTTTCCAGCTGTCCTGTCTACCACCTCTGAACTGCCTATAAAGACCCTCTCAGGGGTCTGGGCCCACAGTAATGCCCCACAGACCCTCTCAACTTTGACCTTCATTATTTTTGCAAGGTCTCCTTGTTTGAAATACAGTCACGCATGCAGGTAAGGGGGCTTGAGGGGAAGAGTCATGAGTTAAGGGGCACCTTGGAATTCACGACGTGGTTTGTGTTTCCCCTGCAGTTGCCGATGTATACGAAGCTGCTTATGATCTGGTCTATCATCATTCCAGCTTCCAGGTGAGAAGCCGAAATGCAGAGATGTCCATCTGTCTGCTCAGTTCTTTCATTAAAGCGTCAAAATCTGGAGGCAGAGAGAAAGAGTACAGTGGTTCAATCCAGGCACCTCACTTGGTTCCCTTGTTCCCCACTCAGAGGGGTCCCTGCGCACTGCCGGGTGTGGCCCCCAAACAAGACAAATAAGACAGAATCTGAACTGAGATACTCTGGTCCTGTACTCTTAATCTTCACATTTGACAAACTGAGGCCAGAGTAATCCACCCCTCTCCCGACACCCACCTCACCCCTCCAGCCCGGGGGAGGGGGAAAAGGCTGATCTTAAGACCACCGAAATGCAATGCGTGACCCCAATCGATATATAATCTATCCTTTTCTTCCTCATCTCTTCTTGCCCCAGGAAACATTAATCAACTGCTTATCTGTTGTTGCATGAGCATTCTTTTGGTTGGAGGCACCGAGATAGAACACGCAAGAGGAATGTACAGAGCACAGAGTACCAAGGCTCGTTCTCTGACTCTAGGCAAAGAGCAACTGCTGGAGGCCTCCTTTTATTCTATTTTTTTTCCAGTTACATCCAAATGACTTCATCACAGAGAAAGACTGACTAAAGAAAGTACAAATAGTCATAGGATAATATTTGTCAAAGGAACATCAGGGTATACATTGTCTTGTCAAAGCTATGTTGTTATGATCAAAAACGGCAGAGGAAGGTATGGAACTGGACACATAGGTTTTACAGATTATGTCTCCCACATTCTTGTGGTTATTTACACATAGGGCAAAGAAAAGGCTCATACTGATACTTGAAGGTCAGTCCAGATTAAGGATGTGTAAGGGGGGAGTGCGGAACTACTGCTTTGTGCTGCTGAGATAGTGTCTGCCCAGGCAGTATATGGGAGCATGCAGTACTTCTCTGGGTCATCAGACTCACAAGTTTTTGGCTTGCCCACTGAGTGTGAAGTGGGGCCTCGGTTCTGCTTCCTGCTTGCAGGGCAATGTCCAGAGGCTCGTCCTAATGTCCTGGCTTAGCACCAACAATCTGTAAACTTATTTTTAAAATTTACTTACAAGGAGATAGAAAAGATGTAGCCTCACCCTGACTTAGTTTCAACATCTGATTCTAACTCTGGAAACCTGATGCTCCCGAGAAGGCTTAGCAGATTCTTAAAGCTTCCGAGAGACGGGCCAGAGTGCCAGTCCAGCGGGATGGTGCTGGCCTCGCACGCGGCTGACCTGGGCTGGACCCTTGGCACCCAGCAGGGTCCTCTGAGTCGCTCTAAACTTCTTTAGCTTTTGTGTTTGTTTTGTTTTGTTTGGGGGCAACACCCAGTGATGCTCAGGGGTTACTCTTGGCTCTCAACTCACTCCTGGCAGTGCTCAGGGGATACCAAGGATTGAAACTGGGTTGGCCACGTGCAATCAAGTGCTCTACCTGCTGCTCCGGTCCTGTCCCATGTCATTCCTAAACAGCTCCAAGGAGAGACACCTGTGACCTTCAGTTTGTAAGTGACAGTAACAGACCTTGAAAAG